ACTGTAGAAGAGAGTTCTATCGACTTCACCAGAAAATTTGCTCATCTGTGTTAGGCTGATTTCTAAAGGCAGACAAGGGAACGAAGATCTTACTCAGCATGCAGATTGGCTATGCGTAGATATTTACGGATAAACCTGCAATAGATATTATTCGCTTGACATTGAGTAAAGTCGGTAAATAGTTGATTACGTCTTTGGACAGCTGAATCTTCTACATAATGTCACACTTCACTGTGAACACAGTTTTGCCAAAATCACCTGGAGTAGGCGTTAGGAATCGCAATCAGTGTTGTGTTTCTCCCACTCAAAATAGCTGTCTTCATGGGAGAGAAATGCTATAGTCTAGTCTAGCATATGCTTATACGGAATCTGCGCCCACCTGAACGTCATTTTGAAGTAAATATGATAAGTAGACCTTATCGCCTAATTTAGAATCATCTCCGCGAATGAACCGTAGAGATACGTGTCATTGCTTTAAAATCTGCCATTTTTTCACACTGCCTACCTAAAACGTGGAAGTCCGTAAACAAGTAGTCATTGCTTAAGTGATCTAAAATCTACTTGGCTTGTGAAAAATCTGTGTGAACACTCGGAAATGGGCAAACGTCACCATGACATTTCATCACTATCACAATCGAACAAAACAATTTATATCCATCGAAAACAAGATCAATCACCTTTTTAACCATTATCAGGTTATTCATTGTTTATTCCGTTGCGGTGAACGGTTAAGGAAATGATTTCCTGCAGTGCGTTTCTTCCCACAGGGATCTCAAAAGCAAAGTATCCGTTCCGTTGCATTTTTGCTACACCTGTTCACAAATAATAAAAATAATCTTCCGAATTTATAGATTCCTTGAAACATGCAGTCAGTCCGAATCGTGCTTCTTGTAGCCTTGATTGCACTTCAAGCAAGCGCTGATAATATGTTCAATGTAAGTTCTTTCAGTTAAGTTTGTAATGCAATTTGCAAATATTTACACTAAAGATAATTCGTGCGCTACCTGTCTAAGACACTCTTAAATTTGCTACTGCTATTAATCTTTTCAAAAATATTTTTCCTTATGCAGGGCGCAATTTTCTACTCTGAAAACCGTGATGTTTAGGAATACTTCAAGAGGGGAATGTACGAATGTGCATTGGATTATTTGAAGGATATTCAAGAAATTCACCGTTATGTTCAGGTAAAACTCTTTTGTACTTTCCTGAAAGGTTTGTTCTATTTTAAATTGCTTACAGAAGGCTGCAGCACGACAAGACGAGTGCCGAAAGAAGGCTTCTCTTACTGACAAAACTTTTCCAAAGACAAATATCGCACCTCTAGACGAATACATAGAGAAAATGAAGCAAGAGGAAGAGGAAGAGGTGGAAGAAACAAAAACAAAACGCCAAAATAGGGCCAAGAGAACGTTATGAAGAGATATATTACGAGTAGTTTGATCCGAGTTGGATATATTTTCGTTTGATATCGGTTGTATTGCTTAGGTAGGAGCTATTATTTGAGCGATAA